AGTTAACAAGAGAGGAATTCAGGTGGATCCTGCCAAAATTGAGGCTATTAGGACTTGGGAAGCCCCGAGAACCCCTACAGAGATCCGCCAGTTTCTTGGGTTAGCAGGCTACTACAGGCGTTTCATTGCAAATTTTTCAAAAATTGCACAGCCGCTTACGGCCTTAACCCAAAAAGAAAAGAAATTCATTTGGAGCGAGAAGCAAGAAGTGGCCTTCGAGACCCTCAAGCAGAAGTTGTGTGATGCACCCATCTTATCCCTACCAGAGGGTTCAGATAACTTCGTGGTCTTTTGTGATGCATCACATCAAGGCTTAGGTTTTGTATTGATGCAAAAGGATAAAGTAATTGCCTATGCATCGAGACAATTGAAAGTGCATGAAAAGAACTATACTATGCACGACCTTGAGTTGGGAGCAGTGGTGTTTGCACTTAAGATATGGAGGCATTATCTTTATGGCACAAAATGCACCATTTACACAGATCATAAAAGCCTTCAGCACATCCTTGACCAGAAAATGTTGAATATGAGGCAAAGAAGATGGGTTGAATTGCTTAGTGATTATGACTGTGAGATCAAATACCATCCGGGCAAAGCCAATGTTGTGGYCGATGCTTTGAGCCGGAAAGAAGGTATAAAGCCAACAAGRGTGCGAGCTTTGGGAATCTTGGTGAATACTAGTCTGAAAACTCAAATCCTAGAAGGTCAAAAGGAAGCTCTAATGAAGAAGAACTTAAAGGATGAAACCCTGCATAACATAGAGTCCAAATCTCAGATAGAATCCGATGGAGTGTGTTATTTGGGAAATAGAATTTGGGTACCTAAGATTGGCAATCTTAGATCGATCATTTTGGACGAAGCTCATTGGTCAAAGTATTCAATACACCCTGGAGCAGACAAGATGTATAAGGATTTAAGAGCATATTACTGGTGGCCTGGAATGAAGAAAGACATTGCACTATATGTAAATAAGTGCGTAACTTGTGCAATAATTAAGGCTGAACACCAGAAACCTTCTGGTCTGCTCCAGCAGCCCGAAATTCCTCAATGGAAATGGGAGCAGATATCGATGGACTTCGTAACTAAGCTACCTCGATCAGAAAAAGGGCATGACGCCATTTGGGTGATTGTGGATCGTTTGACAAAATCTGCCCACTTTTTGCCAATCCGAGAGAATTATAAGATGGAGAAGTTAGCTCAGATYTATATAAGCGAAATTGTCGCTAGGCATGGGGTGCCTATTTATATTCTATCAGATAGAGACAGCCGCTTTACATCAAGATTTTGGCAATCGCTTTAGCAAGGGATGGGTACACGTCTAGACTTGAGCACTTCTTATCATCCCCAAACCGATGGAAAAACCGAGAGAACCATACAGACCCTGGAAGACATGTTACGGGCCTGTGTTATAAAATTTGGTGGAAGCTGGGACACGCATCTTCCTTTAGTGGAATTTTCCTACAATAACAACTACCATACCAGCATCCAATGTGCACCCTATGAAGCCTTGTATGGGCGCAAGTGCATATCCCCATTGTGTTGGTCAGAAATTGGTGATAAATAGCTAACTGGACCCGAAGTTATCCAAGAAACCACCGATAAGGTTGCATTAATCAAAGACCGACTCAAGGCTGCTAGGGATAGACAGAAAAGCTATGACGACAACCGGAGGAAACCTTTAGAATTCCAGAAGGGTGATAAAGTTTTTCTAAAGGTCTCGCCTTGGAAGGGAGTTATGCGTTTTGGAAAGAAAGGCAAGTTGGGCCCTCGCTATATTGGTCCTTTTGAAATAATAGAAAGAATTGGACCAGTAGCATATAAACTAAATCTGCACCCAGAATTAAGCGCTATCCACGACACATTCCACGTAACGAATCTCAAGAGATGTCTATCAGATGAAACCCACGTATCGACTGCATTTTGTTGAAAAACCCTTGGAGATCTTGGATAGAAAAGTTAAGCAGTTGAGACGTAGTAGAATACCTATCGTGAAGGTTCATTGGAATTCCAAGAACGGACCGGAGTACACGTGGGAAAGGGAAGACTTCATGAAGAACAAGTATCCCCACCTTTTCTCAAGCCAACCATGAATTGAAGCGCAGACGATTAAATTTCGGGACGAAATTTTTCTCGGTTGGGGAGGCTGTAACAACTCTACACTTTTGGATTTCCAGGTTACAACCTTATCACGAGATCTTTATTTGAAAGCTAAATCTTTTAGGATTAGCCTAATCCAGAATTTTTCTGGGTTGGGGAGGCTGTAACAACTCTGCTACAGAGGCTCTGTTGTCTCTTCACAGAGACTCTGGAGTCTTTTCACAGAGGCTCTAGTGTCTTTTCACAGAGGCTCTGCTGTCAGCTACAGAGACTCTGGCGTCTCTTCACAGATGCTCGTGTCTCTTCACAGAGGCTCTGGTCCTTCTTACAGAGGCGCTGGTCGCCCATACCTGATCGATTCAGCATCATTTTCAGGAGTCCAATCCTTAGCCCYGATAGCCTAATAAAACTTTTTAAGAACATCATTARCATTAAWTTAATGCTAACAGATCRTCCTATATACCTTCTAAAGATTAGTTATAGATCTTATTCCGACGGGTAGTTGACCAAGTTGGTTCATGCAAATGCCAATCAATCTCGAAAYGTTTCACATAAAATAAAGTTGATATTTTAGTCTCGTTCCTTTGAAAATTTTAAAGATTTCCCAAAGGTCTCAATTCCCTTTTTGTTTAGTTGCCTACTATTTTAAAAGAATGACGATTCMAAGGTCCTGGTAAAACCATTTTTGCTATTTTAGATTTTTAGGACTTAGTTAGAGAAGTTAAAAGCCTTTTGGGCTTGGGCCTTTAGAGGCCAGCCCACTACTTCTCTAAAAGCCCCAAATAAATACCCCTTCTCTTTTGAAAACTCTTCATTCTTCAAAAGTTCCAACCTTTTTCGTTCTYCCTCTCTAAATCTCATCACCTTYTAGCCGAACTCTTCCCCCTRCWAGTCTAGAAATTCCTCGTCTACAAAAAGGTATGTTCTAAAAACTATTTATTCCTCTTCTAGTGCTCAAATTCCTATTTTCTCTTCCTGCTCAACTCGAGTTTTGGGACTTAAAGATGGTGAGATTATCCATCAAAGACTTAYATGTGYCTTCATCGGATGATAATCTGTGACCCAAGGATCTCTTAGTCCCAAAAAGAAGAAGAGAATTCTCGCATATAAGAACCGATTGCACATTCGAGTGATTTGGGTCTTGCATGCATCTCTAAATCAATTCTCTCATCTTGTAGCTTACTGGAACCAAAATCCTCATTGTTTTATTTTCTTTTCTGTAATTTACTTATGAAATGAGGACTTTGGTGTTAAAAGTCTCGATTCTTGAAAATATTAACTTCAAAATCCATTCTTGGGCATGCAACCGGTTTGGGGGAGGCGTGTGACTCAAGGATGTAAATCATTCTTGGGATGGGTGTTAAAACCCACTCAAAATCTTTTGATTTCGATGATTGGCGGCTGCCATCATTTGTCT